TATGTTTAAAAAAGTGTAAAGTTAAACCATAAGCTCAGAGAAAATATCAGAAAATATATAGTCAATAATGAACTTATGTGGAAAACAAATAAATCCAAGAAGTCAATAAGGAAAAGCCAGAATTTAACAGAAAAGATGCACAGAAAGTGGGAATAAGAATATAACAAAAAGGGCAGAATTATCAGTGTACACTAGTAGAGGCATCCAACTAGGTATTGGATCAATCATAGTATGACTGAAAACCAATCGTAAACAGCTTTATAATGGTCCGTCATAAATATTCAATATTTTTTAAAAAAAGAATATAACAAAACATTATCCAAATGTCCTGTAAAGAAAGATAAGGGTTTTAACCACATTAGTAACCAAAGATAGTTTAGGGCACAGTCCTAAAAAATTATCATAATTCAGATGACTGAAATACCTAGGTATGGACAGCCTTAGAAAAATTAAGCATCTTCATAGTGCTGACAGAAATGGAACACAATTTTAGATATTTACTTGGCAGAAGCTACTCTGGTCCAGGACCTCAAACCTAAGAACCCAGCAGCTCAATGTAGGCAATTATTAAAAAGACATTCAAACCAATCTTATTCATTATCAAATCCAAAATGCCCATCAACTGTAAAAAAATAAAATGTAAAGTTATGAAACACACTGCAGTCATTAAAATGAAAAACTACAGCAACATGAAATAACAGCAACAGAGCTCACAAAGATAACTCAGCAAAAGGAACCAGAGACAAAAGCATATTTATATGCAACTTTCATTTATAGTAAGCTTTGTTTTTTTATTTATTTTTATTTATTTATTTAATAGTGAGACATCATGAGGTACAGTTGCAAACTTACACATTTTTGTGCTTGGGTTTCAATTATACAATGATTAAATACCCATCCCTCCACCAGTGCCCATTTCCCACCACCACGGATCCCAGTATCCCCCCCACCCCCCATCCCACCCTGCCTCTGATTGCATTCATCTGGGGAACATAAAGTAACAAAATAGGAGACTAACACCCAAGAATGGCTGAGATTAGTACCAGGAATTTTACTCCATGGCTTGGAGGCCAACCACACATACTAGGGGGAAAGGGAGCTCAGATAGAGAAGGGAACACCAAATAAAGGTGTTGGGAGGATCCTCCCAGGATGGGAGAAGCATGCGGAAAGTAGATTATAGACTAAACATGATTGTCACGCATTGCCTCTTTTGCAAACCACAACACTCAATAAGAGAGAAAGAACAAAAGCTTTGTTTTTTAAGGGGGAAAACCTATCATGTAAGAAGTCAGAAATGGTAATTACTTGGGCAGAAGGGACTGCTTGATGATTAGTAGAAGACAAGTGTAGGAATACTAGAATGCTGACAGTCTCCTATTTCTTGGGTAGAGTAGTGGTTACACAGCAAGTTCATTTTGAGAGAATTCAGCAGATCACATGTTATTTCTGCACTTTTCTGTGCATAATACTTCAATGAAGAGGCTTTATTTTATTTTCAACATGATCTATAGTACTGCAGATAGAGCATTTATCTTGCATGTGGCTGGACCAAAGTTCAATCCCCAGTAGCATATATGATCCCCCCAAGTCCTGTCAAGAATGATTCCTGAGTACAGAACTAGGAATAAACCCTGAATACAGATTGACAAGGAACAAAAAAAAAAAATTCTTTTGCCTTTTTTTTCAAAGTGGCAAGATAGTGTTTTTTTTTGAAAAATAAGAAATAATCTATTAATATATGCAATGATAGCACAGCGGTAGGGCGTTTGCCTTGCACACAGCTAGCCCGACCGAGCCGGGTTCGATTCCTCTGCCCCTCTCGGAGAGCCTGGTAAGCTACCGAGAGTATTCAATATGCCAAACACAGTAACAAGAAATGTCACAATGGAGACGTTACTGGGCCCACTCAAGCAAATCAATGAACAATGGGAGGACAGTGTGATTACAGTGTGATTACCAAATCCTTATTCAAAACAAGCTAGTCTTTCTCATCTGAAACATTGTCCTTTTAAAACTCCTATTGACTCAGTTTTAAAGATGAATGAAGTTGAGAAGAATAAAGTGAAAGTTAGACAATGTCCATAATTTAAAGGTCAATAAGTTCCAGAACAGGGGCATAAGCATCAAGCCCTAAAATTCCATGTCCAGAGTGCTTTGAAGTTTAAAATAGCGTTTTGCTTCTCATCTTCAATCCACCAAGAAATTCTGTGTAATAGGATAGATCTGCTTGACTCCATTGCCCTGGAAAGAAATTGGATATTCTGGAATGCGCCTACTGGTGAAAATGCTCCTCTCCACCCCCCCACCCCCAATCTCAGAATATCAGCCATGGTTATGAGCCCTTCTGAGGCAATCATTATATTTCTTAATCTCAGTAGACACCTTCTTCCCTCCACCCCAATTTTTTTTCAATTTTGAAAAAAAAAACTCTGATTCACAAATGTTTCCATAATACAATGTTCCAACACAAATCCCACAACCAGTGCCATCTTCCCTTGGGTCCTTGAGCTTTTAATGATACAACTCTATAGCCAGGCCTCTGTCACAGGATAGTGATATAATCCAAAGGGTTTGATGTAGGGGCAAACTTTGATTCTTAGCATAGCCAATATTTAGCTTTCCTTAGTTTTTGTTCCAATTCGATTAAAACAGAAACAAGATGCTCTTCAGAGATGAGATAATCATCAATCTGAATTACTAGTGCTGGAGTAAATTACATGAAAGCAAAATAAATTTTTTGTATATAGCTTTTGTTATTTTTTTTCAGGTGAGTATTTAACTCAAGGACCCTGAAGACCAATGACTCTGAGGGGGGCCTCACATGACAGCACAAGACATGAGATCCTGCCTTGACATGAAAAAGCAACGATCTAGTGTCACAGTCTCTGTGATAGAAGTGAATGGCTGATGAAAATGGATTAAAATTCAGTGAAAACAGAAGTAAAAAATGTACTTTAAGGAAGAATAATCCATAAAGATAGGAGCTAAGTAGGTAGAAACCATGAAGGAGAAAAATGGAACCCAGAGAGATGACTCATGTACAAGTGCAGCTGTGTAGTAAGAAGTGGTAAAAATTAGACAGCAATTCTCATGAACAAGTTTTCAGATTTACCACAATCAAAGCTATCATGTGTAAAGTACATTTGAGGGACAGTGAAGGAATTTGGGTTCCCTGGGAGGCTTCCTTTATATCTGCTGAGACTTATCTCTACCTACTGAGGCATTGGTGGTAAGTCTACAAATGAAAAACTCAATTGCTATTAAAAGTCTACCCAAAAGTAAGCCTGTCTGAAAAAGTGTATGTAAATATCCCACATGCTAAAAAAAACTTACATAAAAAAAATTGACTGGAAAGAAAATAAAATTACCACTTTATTTGTATACCAGACTGTCTCATAAAAAGAACAGAAATTGTTTATACATAATAAAAACAGAAATCTAAAAGTCATTGCTAATATATATTGTAACTAACTCTTAGAAATAGAAGTTTTGATGTTACATAGACATTTACTTAAACTAATGGCAACTTGATTATTTCAATAATTTTAGTGTCTTTGGCTTTTACTCCATACTAGTAGATTCTGGGGAATATTCCTGAACCTCCAGAAAATGTTGACCCTCCAAGTTATTTGAATAACTGTAAGTTAATATAATCATTTCAAGATGTTTTCATAGAATGGCCAAAGAGACAGCACAGTGTGTAAGGCACTTGCTTTGCACGTAGCCTACCCAGGTTTAATTTCTGGCACTTTATCTGGTCCCCTGAGTTCTACCAGGAATGATCCCTGAGCACAGGTAGCCAGGAGTAAGCCCCAATCACTGACAGAAATGACCCCAATCCCATCACAATGTTTTATTAGAAGTATTTTACCATTATAGGCATCCTGTGACTACAGATAATATGAGGGTTGCATTTAAAAATCGTATCTGCTATAACACAGGAAAAAATAGTTATAGATTGTGAACAAGAGTTATGTTCATTTTGTTGCATTTAGAATACTGTAGCAGTGCCTATAACAAGTAAACAGTGGACAGGCTTTGTTCTGCTGAATTTAGATTAACCTTTACAAGCAATACAGAATTAGATTATGGAAATAAATTGGAAATGGCATCTCCTTAGACTCACTTTGTACTCTGCATTTTCTTAAGCTTTTATGTGACTGTCAAATATTAGTTCAGGGCTCCATTTGTATTTGTAGCGTTTTATCTTTTTTTTTTTCTGAAAAGATAAGCACCAGTCTTCAGAGAAAGCTTCTCACTATTGGATACAGAAAACAACTCTTTCCTGAATGGTTAATGTTTCAAATAGAAACACAGATACCAGATGGCAAAAGGGGGAAAAAAGAATGCAAGTTGTTTCATTGTTCAATGATAAGGATTTTTCCATCTGCCAGTTCAATACTAACTTGGTTTACATTCACTTAGAGCCAATACAATTAAAACTCTATTTGAAGTGAAATGTTTCAGAAAAATAAAACTAGAAACCTAAGAAATTCTTCTTTGGGTTATACCCAACCCTCAAATTGCTAAACCTTTATATGTGCACAAGTGTGAGTAAGTGATAAAGATACAAAAAAATATATTATTTTAAAGTCATATGCATTTATACAATTTTAATGAAAATGTTTGTGGTAAAAATGAAAATGGATACCTGCCAGAATTTAGAGTCATGATGAAATAAAATGTGTCTAAAGTCATAATAAATTTGAGTAAGTGGCACAAAGAAAGAAACTTGGAACTACTGGTGGGTAAAACAATATAGAAAGGAACTACATTTGAATGGGTATTCCAGTTAGACTAAAGAACAGGATAAATAGCATAGAAATCATAAGTAACATCTTGGAGAACAACACACCAAGATAGATATGAAGAAGGAAAAGGAGTACTCAGAAACAACTATAATTCATGAGAATAATTTCAAGAAAAAAGCAGGAGACAGGAGTGCCTGGGCGCCGGCGGCAGCGGGCTCGGTGCGTGGGTCGGCTGCGGCTCGGGTCCGCCCGCCGGTTGCGGTGCGAGCGGGCGGCCAGGACCCCCTACTTCCCCGCCCGCCGCCGCCGTGATTGGGTGGAAGATGCCGCTGGGCGGATGGAAATCCTAATGACAGTCTCCAAGTTCGCCTCCATCTGTACCATGGGCGCCAATGCCTCGGCATTAGAGAAAGAGATTGGCCCAGTCAATGAGCATTATTTTGGATTAGTCAATTTTGGAAATACCTGCTACTGCAATTCTGTTCTTCAAGCACTTTATTTTTGCCGTCCATTTCGGGAAAAAGTTCTAGCATACAAGAGTCAGCCTAGAAAGAAGGAGAACCTTCTTACTTGCTTAGCAGATCTCTTCCATAGCATAGCCACTCAGAAGAAAAAGGTTGGAGTAATACCACCAAAGAAGTTCATAACAAGATTACGGAAAGAAAATGAGCTTTTTGACAACTACATGCAGCAGGATGCCCATGAATTCTTAAATTACCTACTAAATACAATTGCTGATATTCTGCAAGAAGAGAGAAAGCAGGAAAAACAAAATGGCCATCTACCTAATGGTAATATCGACGGTGAAAATAACAACAGCACACCAGACCCAACCTGGGTCCCTGAGATATTTCAGGGAACATTAACTAATGAAACCAGATGTCTTACTTGTGAAACTATTAGCAGCAAAGATGAAGATTTCTTAGACCTTTCTGTTGGCGTGGAACAAAACACATCTATTACTCATTGCGTAAGGGGTTTTAGCAACACAGAAACTCTATGCAGTGAGTATAAATATTACTGTGAAGAATGTCGCAGCAAACAGGAAGCACACAAACGGATGAAAGTTAAAAAACTACCCATGATCCTAGCTCTCCACCTTAAGAGATTCAAATATATGGATCAGCTTCATCGATACACAAAACTTTCTTACCGGGTAGTTTTTCCTTTAGAACTTCCTCTGTTTAACACTTCAGGTGATGCAACCAACCCTGACCGAATGTACGACCTTGTTGCCGTTGTGGTTCACTGTGGAAGTGGTCCAAATCGAGGCCATTACATTGCAATAGTTAAGAGTCATGAGTTTGGGTTGTTGTTTGATGACGACATTGTAGAGAAAATAGATGCACAAGCGATTGAAGAATTCTACGGGTTGACATCAGATATCTCAAAGAACTATGAATCTGGTTACATTCTTTTCTACCAGTCCCGGGACTGAGGGAGAACGGTGATGAAGAGACACTTCTGCCTCATTTCTTCTCTGGTTATTTGGGAAAGGATCAAGCACTGATTCTTTTTTCTCTCTCTCTCTCTTTCTTTCTTTCTTTCTTTCTTTCTTTCTTTCTTTCTTTCTTTCTCTCTCTCTCTCTCTTTCTTTCTTTCCGTTCTTTCTAAAGAAAAGAGAAATGCAGGAAGCTCAGGGGGCAGTAGCACACTTTGCACACAATAAAGCAAAGACTATGATTAACAAGCTCTTCCTATCATGGTAGTTGATTTCTTTGCTCAGGTATCGTGCTGTATATGCAGTCCCATACAACAAGGAAATGAGGTCAGAGATACCAGCTCCTCTAGTAAAACACCTTTCGGTAATTGACATGCATTTTCTCTTTACTAATTGTACCAATAATGATCAGAACTCCTTGGGGTACAGTAGGAAGAATAGGAATCTGTGCTAAGATATGTCAGTTATAAGGAGATATATTGAACCCATGGCAAAAATTTGCCTGTGTTGAGTATGTATAGCAGAATTGGGTGGCCTTCTCAAACGTGAACCAAAAATAAAATACTTTTGGGCCCCAAAAAAACAAAAACAAACCAAAAAAAAAAAAACAAAAAAAAAAAAAGCAGGAGACAGACAAGTTCTGAGATCCTTCCTAGCAAAGGAGGGATCAAATATACTTCTTACAATACTAGAATACAAATATGCTTACTCCATAATGTTTTGATAGAAACAGGTGCTGCTTTAACATATAATGCTTGTGATATAAAGAAACCATTTTCCAGGAAAATCTTAACTTTGTCTTGCAAAATCTCTAACTGGGCAACTCTGTGGCACATAAAAACTCCTGAAGAATAAGGAGCATGACTACTTCTCTGTTGCTAATTACTTAACATATGGTAGATGTTCTAAAGGATTTGATAATCCTAATAGAACTGAAGCAATTTCACTTTCCAGACTAATATTGCTCTGTTATTGTACTTTTTCATCTGAGTAAACTTACACAGAAGGGAAAAAATGCTTTCCTTTATCCTGTTTCAGGAGCTGTTTACAAAATTTCAGACTTAAATTTACTGTCTATTTAACTTTTTTACAATTAAGTTAAATTCCCAGTCCGAATTTTACTTCTTAATAAATGATGAAATTAGGGCCAGAGCAATAGAACAGCAGGTAAGGTACTTGCCTTGTATGCAGTCAACCTGGGATTGATTGCCAGCATCAAATATGGTTCCCCAAGCCCCACCAGCAGTGATCTTTGAGCATAGTGCCAGAAGTAAGCCCTGAGCACTGTTGGGTGTGGCCCAGAAACAATAAATAAATGATGAAATATATTCGATAAAAAGAGTACTTCCTCTTCCTCCAAGTCTGCAGCAGATTACATCTGCTTTCTTCTGTTTTCATTTTCCACTAAAAAAAGATCTCTAAAGAGAAGAACACCCCAAACTAAAATAAAAAACAAAAGCATAAAGGCAGTACTGAGACCAGTGCTTGACTAGGTGATTCACTGAAGTTCAAAAAATAAAAGACTCATTTTCTTTTTATTTTTGTCCCACCCTTTTTATGTTTGATTTAGATGGTTAATTCTTTTATTTATTTTTACAGATTCATAAACTTTCATGGTTATGTTTCAGTCATACAACAATTGAGTATCCATCCCTCCACCAGTGGACATTTTCCCCCACCAATTTTCTCAGTATGTCTCCCGCCTCCCATGCCCCTCCTCAACCCCTACCACTGTGGCAGGCACATCTTTAAGAATCTGAATTTCCGCGTCCAGCTCCGGGACTGGCGCGCCCAGCGGCCCACAGGTCCCCCCCCCCATCCAGGCGGGTTGGAGGAGCCCAGCGAAGGCCCGCCCCTGACACCAGAAGCGCCGCCCCCCCCCCAGCCCCGCCGGAGGACAGCGCGGACACCAGCGCACGTCCAGCTCCGGGTCCGGCGCACCCAGCAGCCCACCGCACCCCCCATCCAGGTGGGTTGGAGGAGCCCAGCGGAGGCCTGCCCCTGACCCCAGAAGCGCCGCCCGCCCCCCCCCAGCCCCGCCAGAGGACAGCGCGGACCCCAGCGCACGTCCAGCTCCGGGACTGCGCGCCCAGCAGCCCACCGCCCCCCCCCCCCCCATCCAGGATCCTGGGAGAGAGTGGCCTGGGACTGGCCAGGGGCGTGGCCTCTAAGAAGGGGGCGTGGCCTCCTAAAAGTTGCGTGGCCTGCTTCCGGCTGGCCGGCCGCAGGTATATCACTCACTCCAAGCAATTTGGACCTTCATCCTTTCATCCTTTTCATCAACTTGTTACCTAATATCAACCAAAAAGTTCTCACCTCTTCTACTACAATTCAACAAAATCCCACTCGCCTACTCCATTTCCAACAAAAGTCCTGTTTGAAAATAGCTATACAAGCTCAGTAGTAAATAGCACCTATTCCAAAAGTATCACTCAATGTCAGTTACAAAACAAAGAATAACGCCTGATTGAGAAGAAGGTCAGACTCAGAAAGGTAGAAGAGGCCCATCTAGCAGCAACAAAGCTGAACGGCTCCTGGCAGTCTCTCCTCACTCAACCAGAACAGTAACAGTGAGTGTGAAGGACCAAATCACACTGGTCACAATGGTAAAGCAACGCAAAAGCCCACCAAACTTTCTTATTCACGAGGCAAGCCCAGAAGACACCAACAGTACTATAGCGTTAGACAACCTCTCTGACAAGGAATTCAGAAGGAAGCTACTTAGGATGCTTAGGGAACTAAAAGAAACAATGGAAACCAATGCCAATAAAAGACAAGAGGATTTAAAGGCAGAAATGAGGAAAATGCAATCAGAAATGTCGGACCTGAAAAACCTGGTAGCCGAATTGAAAACCTCAGTGGAAGGCCTCAGCAGCAGAGTAACAGCGGCTGAGAACAGAATCAGTGAGCTCGAAGATCAAGTTCAGAGACTTGTCAGAAAAGAGCAGAAAATGGAAAAGAGACTCACAGTTCGAGAACAGATGGCAAGAGAAGATCGTGATGAAGCCAAGAGGGGTAACATAAGAATTATTGGAGTCCCAGAGGGACAGGAAGAAAACCTTGATGAAGAAGAAACTGTCAAAGAAATCATTGCTACAACGTTTCCAGAGCTGAAGAAAACTTGTGACCACATCCAGGAGGCCCGAAGGGTATCAGCTAGAAGAAATCCGAATAAAAATACCCCGACACATCCTGATCAAAATGACCAAAACCTTAGACAGAGACAAAATTCTGAAAGCAGCAAGATCGAAGAAAGAAATCGCTTACAAAGGAGCATCCTTAAAATTCACAGCTGATTTTTCTGTCAGGGCCCAAAAACAGTGGTGGGACATAGTGAAAAAACTCAATGAAATAAATGCTTCTCCAAAAATACTTTACCCAGCAAGACTCTCATTCATAATAGAAGGAACAACACACAGTTTCACAGACAAACAACAGCTCAGGAACTTCATAGTCTCAAAACCGTGGTTACAAGTACAACTAAATGGGCTACTTTAAGGCAAGACAGGCCCCTCAAATACACCAAATTTCAACAGAACAATGGGACAAAATCCCATAACAATAATCTCTCTCAATGTCAATGGGCTAAACGCACCAATTAAAAGACATAGAGTGGCAAGATGGATTAGAAAATTGAACCCAACATTCTGCTGCCTGCAAGAAACACATCTTAATAGTCAAAGCAAACACAGACTCAGAGTCAAAGGCTGGAAAACAATCCTACCGGCAAACAGCTCCCATAAAAAAGCTGGGGTAGCCATCCTAATATCAGAACACATCGATTTCAGAGTGAAGAAGGTCATAAGAGACAGTGAAGGCCATTTCCTATTAATCAAAGGATCTGTACAACAGGAAGAACTTACAATAATTAATGTATATGCACCTAATGAGAGGCCAGCAAAGTATTTAAAACAACTACTCATAGATTTGGAAAAAGACATCGATAGCAACACAATACTAGTGGGAGACTTCAGCATCGCTTTGTCACCTCTTGATAGATCAACCAGAATCAAGCTTAGCAAGGACATACTTCATCTGAGGGAAACAATGGAAGAAAGGGACTTAGTAGATATATACAGGACACTTCATCCACAAAAAGCTGAACATACATTCTTCTCAAGCGTACATGGAACGTTCTCCAAGATAGACCACATGCTGAGCCACAAAACATGCCTCCATAAAATTAAGAAGATAGAGATTATATCAACAATCTTCTCAGACCATAATGCGCTGAAATTAGAAGTAAATCACACACAAAAACAGAAAACTAAATCAAAAACCTGGAAATTAAACAGTGCGCTATTAAACAACGAGTGGCTTAGACAGGAAATTAAAGAGGAAATCAAAAGATTCCTAGAAACGAATGAAAATGAGGACACGAGTTACCAAAACTTATGGGACACAGCAAAAGCTGTGTTGAGAGGAAAGTTTATAGCTCTACAAGCATTCCTCAGGAAGGAGGAGCGAGCACACATAAGTAACCTAACCTCACAGCTTAAGAGCTTGGAGAAGGACCAAAAAAGGAGCACAACCCAAACAGGAGAAAGGAAACAATAAAACTCAGAGCAGAGATTAACGAGATGGAAACCCAGAAAACAATCCGAAAGATCAATGAAACCAAGAGCTGGTTCTTTGAGAAAATTAACAAAATAGATAAGCCCCTAGCAAAACTCACAAAGAAAGGGAGAGAGAAAACCCTACTAAACCGAATCAGAAATGAAAAGGGGGTCATTATAACAGAAACTACAGGAATTCAAAGGATCCTCAGGGAATACTTTGAAAAGCTTTATGCCACGGAACATCAAAACCTCGAGGAAATGGATAAATTCCTAGACTCCTACAGACTCCCAAGGCTGAACCAAGAAGACCTGGAATACCTGAACAGACCTATCACCATCAAGGAAATTGAAATGGTAATAAAAAGTCTCCCGAAGCACAAAAGCCCTGGCCCGGATGGATTCACCAGTGAATTCTTCCAAATCTTTAAAGAAGACTTATTCCCAATCCTCTTTAAGCTTTTCCATGAAATTGAAATATCAAATGCACTTCC